GGGGTGGGGTTATTAAATTACAAATTTTTTTTAAAAAGGAAAAAATAAGGGAGAAAGAGAAAATAAAGATGGAAAAATTCTACGTAACTCAAGGAAAGAAAAGAAGAAATAAGGGAACGATTAGGAAATAAGAGAAGAAACGAAGTAAAGACAGGAAAAGAAAAGAAGGACGACGGCAAACGTAAGGAGAGAACATAAGAATTTAAGCTAAGAAAAGGGAAGAAATGGGAAGAACATAATGGACAGGAAAGAAAAAGAAGAAGACATTGAATAGTATCACGGAAGGCAAAGACCTTGGGAGGTGCTTCAAAGCCTTTTATGGCCTTCAATCAAAGAGTTCAAGAGGCTCTTCTCTAGGGTTTTTTCTTCACAAAGTTCTCAAAGAATAAACATCCTAAGGGGCTGAACATCCTTCTCTCCACTTTTATACAACTTAATTTTTTTTTTAAAAAAAATGACTTGATTACTCTAACTAAAATAAAATATTAAAAGACCAAACTACCCTTAAATTCTCCACAAATCCAAAAGAAATAAATATTCTTAGCTAACAAAAGAAATCAAAAGACCAATAACCTTAGTTTTCACTCTCCAAAAAAAGAAATTTAAAACCTTCATGCCATAATGTCCTCAGGGCACATAAAGGCTGATAAATTAGTAATTGGAGGTGGTCGTATCCAGTGAATGGTATGTCAGTGCATATTTTTTTGTACATTTAAGTATTTCTACAGACGAAGTGTAGCTTAGGCATTTAGTCCTTTGTACCCTAGATATACTTTGAAAAGGGCCAAATCCCTAAACTATGTTTTTCTTTTGTCAACGAGATCTCCATATAATTTCTCTGAAAATATTAAATCATGACATTCATAGTGAATTTTGCCAACAGGGAAACAATTATCGTGTATCAAAATACAAAAACAATGCAGAGATATTAGAATAAGAAATCGACATGCTTTCAACCACACAAGATATAAGATTATTAGCAACACAACATACTACAATAATGAAACATGTGATGTCGATGGAAACACAATCATGACCTGGAATTGCAATCTTATCAAAATATTCACAAAGGATACCTAAAAGTATGAAGCCACAGTTCAACCCCAAACTACCAAAGCAAATCAGAGATTTTTGTCTGCCCCATCGAGGCTAGTTCTAGATGGCAAAAAGAGGAAAGGAAATTCATGGGTACCAAGACATTGTTAACCTACCTTTCACCATATCTACGCACATAAGGGAACTCTGAACCATTCAATCCTGCACAAGCACATATTCTGAAATCCACACAACCTCCAATGCATTGACACCCCTCAGCATCTGGCGGGAGATTAACACTTTTTGCCACGATCAATGATTTATGGTACACAAAACCTATTTTTCAAGAGATGATTGGTTTAATTTTAGAGAAATCAGAGCGGCTCATACTCGCACAAGCACATAATAAGAAATCTCACAATCCCCAATGTATCGACGCCCCTCAGCATCTCGAGGGAGAAACATTTTCTACGCTCAAATGGCCACTTAGTGAGAGGATCACCACAAATGAGGTCTAGGAGGCACTAATTTAAGAGGTTCCATAGGCCCTCAATTGTCAGGGTGTGCACCCTCATTTTGAGTACACAAATTATATATATATATATATATATATAGATGTAGAATTATACTAGAATATGCCACACTAATGGTGAACTTCAAATTTGGTACACCAAAACTTTTGACAATAAAATACCCTTATGTATCTAAAAATAACTTTGTGACTATAAGTAGTCTATGCATTTTAGGAAAGGTATTTTTGACTTTTTAAAATCCCTCCAAACTTAATTTCAAATTTAAGAAGATTCCTTTTGACTTCTTGAATGATGAGTGGATCTTTAAAGCAATTTAAAATTACAAATATGCCCTTCTCACAATTTTCAAACAACTTATAGTTAATGTAATTTTATACTCCTGGGAAAGCTTTCGATAATTCCCCTATTGTATAAAACTACACTTCCCGCTATCCAGCTATCTGATTTAAATGGACGGCTGAGATGTACCCAATCACAATGTCACGCCTTTGTTGGGGTTATGTGGCCATTTAAAGGCCTTACAAAAGCATATAATGAAATTTAGGTGTGGCAACAATAGGCAATAAGATGAGATAGAGTAGACTTAGGGGGCTGGCCATGTGTGGTGCCGACCTAGAACATCACCTATTAAAAGGTGCGAGTTAGTCCAAGTGGAAGGATTGAAAAGGGCAAAGGGTAGGCCTAAAAAGACGTAGTTGGAAGGAGTCTGAAAAGATATGGGGACTTTTGGCCTCACCGAGGGTATGGCCTTTAATAGAACATAATAGCGAACCAGGATTTATATAGCCGACCCCAATTAATTGGGAAAAAGCTATAATGATGATGATGAGAGCATGTAATGAAATTTCATGATAGTGAAATAATTAACTACAATGGGAGTATGGTCCAGAGGGGCCGAAGTTGGCATTAATGCCAAGACTCAAACTAGGCTTGACAAGCTAAGCTGGGTTGACTTCTAAAGAAGTCAAAGGAATCTTCTTAATTACAACCGTGAAGGGTTTGCAAGGTTAGCCCTTGATGAGGTCAACGAGATGCTCAGGGTGATTGGTCAAGGAACTTTGTGACCCTCGAGTGTAGTTGGATGGCATTAACGGACAATTGCCAAATCCTCATCATAACTATAATACAACATATGACAGTTGTATTGGGAAGCAAACACTATTGAGGGTCTGACTTGTACATGTGCAAGCGATAGCTTCCATGCACCAGTTGCGATAAGTATACACAGGTCTGTGTGACCTAGGCTTGTCACTAAGAGAACCTACAATCCATGCACTAGGAATGAGTTCTCTTCACCTATTGGCTGACTTTCATAGCCCAATCATGAGCCCCTACGATGGGTTGTGAGTGTACAAATTCCTTGGGGGTAACATGAAGCAAGGTTTTCGGTAATTCTAATGGCTCCATGTTTCTTGATTCTTTATGCATTATGTTCTTGTTTGAATGTAAAGAATTGTAATGGCTTGTAAGAAATGATCCTAGAATGTATTTGGGTTTATTTTATGAATACAATTGTAATTTTCGACCTGTAAGTGGTCTAACTTGCATGATTAAAAGAAAAGAAAAAATTTTAGCTGTGTATACTTGGCTAGATCATATTGTCCACTTTTCAGCATCTACACTGTTTTATTTTAATTTTTTTCTACAAAATATTTTGACACCAAATTTTGGGCATTCACTCCTCTCTTGAATTCGCACCTACAAAACATATAAAATAAAATATTCTGGATAAAATAAAATGGCCAAAATACCCCTGAAACTTTCAGGGGTATTTTGGTCATTTTATTTTATCGAAAATATTTTTAATATTTTTTTAGGTGCCCCCATTGAGATCATGTCTCATACCAAATTTCACATTCATATGATTTGTAGAAAACAAATTAAAAATGAAATACCCTGTGATGTTGGACCTAGAACAGACGACTAGTGGCTCGCTCTAAATTAAACGGCTAGATGGGGGAGGAAGTATATAGCTTATGTACAGTAGGGGAAGTAAAGAAAGCTTACCCCATATTTATGAGGGCATTTTATGATTTAAAGTTTTAGATAATCATTTATAAGTTCATCAGTAGTGTGGTGTATTCTATTATAACTTTTCTATATATGGTTTCTGGAGTTATCCCTTAATCTCATCATATTATCAGAGCCTTTTTCCAACTATTTAGCATCGGCTAGAATGTAGATTTAGGATTCATGGAAAGTTTTGCAAAAATTATTTGGACATTCAATACCATCACCTTTTATAACAAGCTTTTTGAATAAGGACAGTTGTAACAATCCTAAACTTTCAAAAAAAAAAATTAATAAATAAATAATTATTTATTTATTTATAGTGTGATGGTCCATATAAGTATTATGGTCCTTAGGGACCAACACCACTTTTGTCTTACCACGTCCTTTAGTGGACGTGGGCTTTAAACGTTTCATGTGTAATATAATTGTCACACCTCATGTATGAGGTGT